AACAAATAAAAATAGATTTATAGATAATTTTATTTTATTATAAGAAAGTTTGAATTTATTTTTAATTTCACCAATTGGGTTTTCTTTTTTCAACAAATGACTGTAAACCTTCTTTGCAATCATCGAGTTTTAAATTATCAAGCATAGTTTGTTCTCCATTCCTGTAAATACATGATAAATAAAGTTGTTAAATAAATGTGGCCTATACAGTATTTTTTTAAATGTTTAAAACTATAACAAACATTTTTTTWAAATACAAATTACCTGTAAGCCAATTTAATATTTTCATCGATTTGTCTGTAAAAAAATTTCTTTCCCAAAGAAATTACAGAACGGCTTTTTTGACCAACTAACATCGTCAMCTTGGTAATTTCATCATCTAAAGGTAATATTAATTAATAGAAACAATTACAACCAAATATGTTTTAAATAATTAACCTAATACTTCAGGCGGAACAACCTTACTAACAAGACCAGTTCTAAGGGCTTCTTCAGCATTAATTGATGAACCAGTAAATAACATATAAGCGGCAGTTTTTTTTGACACAGCTCTAGCTAGTGGAATTCCTGGAGTAGAACAAAACAAACCAATGTTTACACTAAAAGTAAAATGTATATATTATTATTTATTATGTTAGTTAGTTTTTTTTACATAGTATTTTAGTCTACAATAGATCAAAGTATAACATTAAATATGCTCTGTACCCAGGTGTTGAAAAAGAACTGCGATTTGAACAAATCGCCATATCTGAAGCTGCTACTAATTGACAACCTGATGCTGCAGCTATACCATCAACACATGCTATAATAGGTATAGGACAATCTATTATTGTATTCATAAGTTTTGTAGATAATGAGAATACAAATTTCTGGTTTTCTGGTATGCTCTATAATATTATGCAAATATTAATTATTAATTATTATATATAGATGACATAGGCCCAAGCCTAGGGTGGTATTTTAGTAGGGGGCAGTATTTTAAAATAATGATAATATTATCATTTTAGGATTGTCAAAATTTGATTTTTGCCTAGTSCACTATTTTTCCTAGAGCCAACCATGTATAAATTGAACAGCTGAATAGATAAAGGATAATTTTGCTTAACACTCACTTTCAAAAATTTAAAAAACGGATTATTTTATTAGTGGAATATTATCTTTATTCCACTCTACATAAAATAAAATTCAAAGCTAAATTTATAAATAAGTTTCAATGAAATATTATCCTTTATATTAATATAATTATAGGTAAAGTATAATATAATATGTATAATTTGGCTACAAAATGGCTATCAGTTTATTTTTCATATTTTTCAAATATTATCCTTTTTTTTACACAGATGTTAAATTATAATATATATGAAATCCAGAGCGCCCTGTTCTATTTAAATGATAACYAATAATTTTAAAGTAAAATTTTAAACATAAAACTGTGGTTTATGCAGCACTGTTGGTAATATATGCAACTATCTCAATCTCACAGACTTATATCTAAGGAATTATCACACCATCATCAATTACAATTGTAATATTTAAAAGTACATGTTTTRATTGTTTAAAGAATTATAATRGTTTTGACTTTTAAAATGTAACATTGTGTTGTTTAATAAAACACAAAAAAAGAAAAAATTCATAAATATTTAAAAACTTTTATTATATTTAGGTTATTTACTCAAAGACGGTAAAGTAATAAGAAAATAATTGTTTGTGATATGACTTAGATTTGTATTTTAACTCTCTACAGTTGTAGAATTTTTCTTTGTGGTTAGACGTTTCAGATGTMCCGTTTTTTTATTTTCTTATTATGGTCACCCTAAGTTATACTAACCAGAGGTAGATAGGCCAGCAAGGGCAAAATCTAAATGACCTTGAAAAAGGCTGTAAAGGGTCTTAATAAGCAAATAAAAAGAAAATTGATACTTTAATAATTAGGAATGGGTCGATACTAAAACAAATACCATATATCAGCTGATATTGGTGGTATCCATTTTTTTTTCAAAACTGATACCTCAACCGATACCAAAAAAAACCTATCAAACAGCATAGTATATTACAATAATTTACAAAYACACAGGTTAAGTTATCAATATCAAATACTATAGAATATTTAAAAAAAATCTATTCAAAAATGTTGTTTTAATATTTCCATATATTATAGGGTATTGGTTTTATATCCGCAGCATATATTGGAGTATCAGTAAAAAGTGGTATCGGCTCACCCCTAATAATAAGAAAAGAAAAGATATATTATAACTTACAAGCTCCTTGAGGTTGTGACCAGCCGAAAARACAGGCCCATCTCCACATATCACTATACTTTTTAAAGATAAATCATCCCCTGCACTTTTTATTTCTTCAATTAAATGTTGAAGTGCAACAATAGATAATGTATTTCTATAAACATACAATAATAAATATTTTRATGTATATAGTTATGATCAAAATATAATTTAAGTTTATTAAATTATTAAATTTTTGATATTTAAATATTAGGTTTAGGTCTGTATATTTATATTATCTACAAAGATAACTTTCATTTGGGATGAAAATAAATAGGTAGTTCTACAAAAACTGTATGGAAAAGTACTCGTCCTACTCCTTATAATTCCTTAATTATTATATAGAGCTCTCTTTAAAAACTAGTCAGTGTCAATAACATTTGTTAACTCCACAAGAATGAGTAATTGAAAATACAATAATGCATAATGTAATAAAAATTAGAATTGATTAAATTATGTATTATAGTATTATACTTTATAGTTTATATATGTACAATGTACTACATTAATTAAAAATTGCTTTATTATAGTGCTATGATTTAAATTATGGAAACAATTATACAAGATGAAAAATTCAACTAAAAAATATTTATTCTGTTGCAAACATATTTTATAGATAATCACTAAGTATATATGTCACATCCACATAGCGAAATCACTCATTTCATGAACTGGGTATCCAGATAGTGAAATTCATCCAGATCGTGAATTCTGACAAAAATTCATTATATAGACAACCACTTCATGGAACTGACATCCATTTCATGAAATGGAAAATACCTACTTATATTATGTACTTTGTGTAATTATTATGAAACAAGATTATTATGTTATTTAGCAATAAATAATTATATCATACCATTTAAGTAGGCCGAAAGACTTTTGTGGGATATTTAAACATGGAAACGACAAAAAACATAATAAGTACTTTCTACAAAGTGGTATTAATTTAAATTATTTTTTATTACATACAAGCCAAATACAAGTCACTCAGTCATTCATCGCAACATCTTAAAAACTACAAAGTGTATGCATTTTAAATTTGTAATAGCAGTTCCTCTAATGATATTAAAGTGCAATGCAAAATGATTTTCTGATGTTAATTTACTCACCTATGCTGGAACTTGCAGACACCTAAGTCCTTAAGTCCTGGGTGGTCTCTCACATACCACRACGGATGTTGAAGGGTGTATGCGCACTCCAAATATGGTTTACTGAAGGCATGGTTCAGTATTGAATGTTTGAAAAATCAACAACTCAAATTTTAACTACCTACTGGCCAAGTTGAATAAAGTGTTAAATTTTAAGTTTGAGAGACGATTAAAAAATTTCAAGAGGGCAAGGAATTTTGTCTTGTTCRTGTATGGTATGTAACAATTGATGTCATAAATAATCGGCATGCAATAAGGAAGAAAAATGTATAAGTATCTATAGTTAATTAATTGTTATTTAAGTAAATCAATTAATTATTTTGTTAATATTTTTGTTCATAGAACAATATAGAAAATTATAGTTATAATTTATAACAATATTATGCTATGATATAATTATTTATTRCTAAATCACATAATAATCTTGTTTCATAATAATTACACAAAGTACATAATATAGGTAGGTATTGTCCATTTCATGAAATGGATGTCTATATAATGAATTTTCATTAAAATTCACGATCTGGATGAATTTCACTATCTGGGTATCCAGTTCATGAAATAAGTGATTTCAGTATGTGGATATGCGACATAGGCGGGTCCAGACCTCATTCGCAGGTCATGCACAACAGTGGCATATCTAGGGGATGGGGAAACTGCCAATCCTCCCCACTCAAAAAAAAAAATAAAAATTTCTGTTAGGGTTTGGGGATATGACCTTGAATTATGGACATGATGAAAAACAAAAAATTTAATATGAAAATAGAAATTGCGAAAAAAAGRTTCATATTATGCATCAAAATGTATTATGTAAGTTTGATCATATTTGCAGGTCATGCCTGT